GAGAAACTTTATGGGAGGAGAAATATAAAAATGCTTCAGGTAAAAAACATTTTAAGTTGAAATTAATTGAGAAACTCAGTAAGTTATAAACATTCATAAATAAGGAACTGAGACATATGGGATTGTATCTAATAAAAATCAGTATCTCTCAAATTCAACCACCAAGGCTGAATGTGACCTCCAGCAGTTTTTCTTGCAGCCACAGGCTCCCAGATGGTGATGGTGGAGGGCAAAGCAATGGCTCCTTCCCTGTGGCTCCTTCCCATTGTGGAGCCACAAATGCAAAAGAAACAGGCAGCCAGGGTAAGTCCATGAGCTTCCTAAGGCCAATGGGGCAGAAGGTTACTGGCACATGGAAGTGGATTCCGGGTTCAGGTGCTGACTCCAAACTCATTGCCCCAGTCCCTGTTGCCTTTCCCAGTCTCTCCCCCTCTCCCTTCCCCCCACCACGCACCTACTGCCCCCAACCTCCATTGCACGTACAGGGTTTAATTTGTCCCCTGGTTTACTGGGGCAGTGTACATCTCTGCTGTAAAAAGGGATACAGTATTTGTATGATTATTAATATTACTTTTCAGTTGTCTCCCAGTTAGCTAGCAGGTTTACTAGCTAGCATACCTTTAAAAAAAATCACAAGAGGAATAAGAAAAAAAAAGGCAGAGCACTTTATTATTGTTACTAATTTGTTTTGGTATAGTAAAGAATAGATATAACTGTACATTATTTTTGTACATTGAGTTTGCAAACAAAACTCTACATAAATTACAATGATTTGGACAAGTGTATGTGCGTATTTATTTGTTTTTGGTAAAACTAATGGAGTATTTTAGGAAAAATTGCCAGAGCAGCCACAAGAGTTGGTGACCACTCTGAGGCCACCAACATTTTCTGTGAAAACCTTTACCTGAAGGGTTTAACATTTTAACATATATGGTGCTTTTCAAGTTCCAGGTAAGTGCTAAATATTCTTAGTAAACTAGGAAGTCAACCTATATTTTCATATTTTATCAAAAGTAGTCACAAAATTAATTACTAGGTTTTTATTTGCATTTATTTTTTTTAATCTGTGGGTTTTTATCGAAGTGACACAGAGAGCATGATTATCAGAAAAACTCTGGTTGCACCCATTCATTTTTTAAAACTTCCATCATAACATGTGCACACAAGTGGGGAAATTTACATGCATCCATTTAAAATTGTACACATGCAAATCTCTGACATTTGAAGAAATGTAGCGTGGGCACATGCATATTTTTTATCTGAAAAAATAGGCCTGCATGGCAAAACATTTCCTGTGAATGCAGAAGCTCTCTTCCTCCAGAATAGCGCAGCACAGCAATCAACACCACATAAAATAAAACTTTATATTATATAAAATATAAAGGTTTACATACAAACAAAAAGTGAAAGAAAAAAGGAAAGGGAAAGGAAGAGAGAAAACTAGGAAGAAGCATGAGGAAAGAGAACACTATAAAGTTATACTAAAGGTTTAATTTATTCCTAGGTTGCAGTATTTTAAAAATAGGTCTGATTTGTTTTCATAACTAAAGGAGGCATTATTACAGGTAGAAGAAGTGGGAAAGATACTGCCTAAGATAAAAGTAGTCAAGAAGAAAACCTTGTCTTAAGGGTATCCTCTTTAGGTGACAGTGATCTCCATGTAACCTGAGGCATATACTTATTTATCAACAATTACATCATGGCTAGTTATTTAATTACATTACATTAAATAAGGACACCCAAACAGGTTAGGAGATGTTAATATTACCTTTGTAAAATGAGTGGGCAAAGCTCTGCTCAGGAATTAACTTGGCAAGGAATCCATGGTTCAAACTTGGGTGAGGGATAGAAGGTATGACCACAACTGTGGAGAAAATCATGGAATCAAATGTGAGCCAGCTAGTAATCGCCTGTCACGTGGTCCACTATGGATCCTTGACAGAAATCCTCTCTCACTGAAACATGCAAATATGGCACTATTAACAAAAATGCATTTCTGGAGGAAAGAAACAAGTTACGTCTCAAGAGATAGGAAACATCAGACCAATCAGTAGGGAATCATAAGAACAACATTTATAGGGAGAAGACATATAAAAGACAAGCATGACTGGAACAGTTAATTGAAACAAGCAGTTTCCTACTCCAGCACCACAACATATGACCAAGGAGGACACGTTAAATGTAACATAAAATTATGGTTCCTCATAGCTGACCTCTTAAATATGTTTATTAAATGAAAACAGCCAATGAGGACATTGATTTTTTTTAAAACTTAAAGTACAGGGTAGAAAAAGCAAGCAAGCTAAGATATAACAATGATTTATATAAAAATAAATAAATATAGGGCTGTCAATTAATTTAATTTAATCTCAAGGTTTAATGTAAAACCAAATGAAAAGAGTCATGATTAAATGCGATTTTAATCACACTGTTAAACCATAAGAGAATATTCTTTTAAAATTATAAATATTTTGAATGTTTTTCTACATCTTCAAATATACTGATTTCAGTTACAATAGGGTGCGTCTAGATTGGCATGATTTTCCGGAAATGCTTTTAACGGAAAAGTTTTCCGTTAAAAGCATTTTCGGAACAGAGCGTCTAGATTGGCACGGACGCTTTTCCGCAAAAGCACTTTTTGCGGAAAAGCGTCCGTGCCAATCAAGATGAGCTTTTCCTCAAAAAAGCCACGATCTCCATTTTCGCAATCAGGGCTTTTTTGCGGAAAACAAATCTGAGCTGTCTACACTGGCCCTTTTGTGCAAAAGCTTTGCGCAAAAGGGACTTTTGCCTGAACTGGAGCAGAATAGTATTTCCGCAAGAAGCACTGATTTCTTACAGTAGGAAGTCAGTGCTTTTGCAGAAATTCAAGCGGCCAGTGTAGACAGCTGGCAAGTTTTTCCGGAAAAGCGGCTGATTTTCCGGAAAAACTGGCCAGTCTAGACACAGCCCATAGAGTATAAAGTGTACAGTGCTCACTTTATATGATATTATTATAAATATATGCTCTTTGGTAAATGCAAACAAACTAGGGATGTAAGCGACTAGTTGAGTAGTGGACTACCTGATAAGCCTATGCTTATCACTACTTGACTAGTCACTACTTGCAAGTCACTACTTGACTAGTCACTTCTCCCTGCCCTTGCTGCCTCTATCAGAGGCAGCACGGTGGGGGGAGCAGGAGACAGTGCTAGGGGCAGGGGGGGAGTCAGCTTAAAAGTCAGCTCCCCCCAGCACTGACTCCATGGGGGGAGGGTAGCAGAAACGCAGTGGGGTATTGGTCAGAAGCTGGGACTCGGCTGTCCCGGCTCACGCCCAGTCTTTCACCGCGTCTCTTTCTTTTAAATAGTAAGGCTAGCTCTTACTACATTTATAAGGCAGAGCTGCAGCAGGGTTAACCCCACAGCAGATAACCCCACAGCAGCTCTGCAGTTTCCCCCTTTATCGGCTAGTCAAGTAGTCGATGGAAATTCCATCGCCTACCTGATTAGCTGATTAAACGCAATTTAACATCCTTAAAGCAAATTTGTTTGTTTTAGCAATTGGCGGAACAAGAATGAGAGCTGAGTGGACTAGTAACTTCTAAAGCTTTACATTTTGTTTTTGAGCGCAGCTTTTCTACATTTGCAAGTTGCACTATCATGTTAGAGAGATTGCACTATAGTACTTGTCTGAGGTGAACTGAAAATACTATTTCTTCTGTTTATCTTTTTACAGCGCAAATATTTGTAATAAATGTGAGCACTGTACACTTTGCATTCTGTGTTCTAACAGAAATCATATCTGAAATTGCAGAAAAACATCAATATAATTATAATACATTTAAATTGTTTTTATTATTTTAACTTTGTAATCTCATGCAATTATTTTTATTGTTTGTCAGCCCCCAAATAAAAGGAAATAGGACATGACTTTAAATTTCATCATATGTGATGTGAAAATCAGCAATTCCAAAAAGTAAAATAGCAAATCAAATTCAGCATAATCAGCAAAATGTTCATGAAAAACAACATGGAGAGATTTGGCCACAGATTTCTAATCACCCCTTTTCAATATATTTACATGTCTCTCCTGAGAAGAAAAAAAATAGTAGTGTTATAAGCCAATCCGTAATCCATCTCGATGGCTTAAACTATTGAACTGGCAGACTTTACATTATAAACAGTGGAAGAATGTACTTGGATTAAAAAAAATCTGTGCAGGTTCTGTAGCTCACAGATAGTGCCCCCAAACACTGGAATATCACTTGCTGGGGATCCGGGGGGGGGGAGGGGGGGAATCTGAATTCACACACTAATCAGGTGAAGAATGCAATAAAGGCAACAATTCTAGTATTTTCAACTTTCAGGGACTTCTCAATGCAGACCCAAGCTAGAAAGACAGCAGGACTCAAGAGAGTTAATAGTTCTTGAAATATTAGCTTTTAAAGGATTTTGAGTTTAACACAAAAAGTAGCTTTCCCTAGGGAATAATGAGCTGTCCCATTGCACTTTAGAGACTAACAAATAGATTAGATTATATTTATTAGTCTCTAACGTGCCAAAGGCTTGCTTATTGTTTTTAAAGTTACAGACTAACATGGCCTCAGACTTTCAACTAGGGAGTTAACTTTGTTTGTTAAATATAAGCTTCAGACATTTAGAGCCGGAGATAGTTGCTCACAGTACACGGATGGCAGTTTTACATTATTTTAACAGTTTAATAAAAATATTAAGTTGTACAAGGACAAGGTAAGGTCTCTCCTCCTTTGAATGTTCATATACATTAAAAATGGATGTATAAAAACAGAATAAGCAAATGAAAATAAGTTAAATCCTGTACTCAGAAGTATGTAATTTAAATCTAACTTATTAACAACCAACATGTGTTAAAGAAGCCTGGAGAAACTAAACAATAGCATCCATACATTCCAGACAATTTAATTTTTTTTCCAGTCAAATATTTACTATTTCGAGGAAATTGTGAACAAAATAAAAAAGAAGCAGGAAAAATAGAAGTACCTGTGCTTGTTGGTGAGTTTATTTCTTGTCTGATATTTCTACCTGCTTGGCTCCCACATCTTGCAGTCTCTCGTTGCGGTTCCAATATATCACGGTACTTGGAGACCATCAGCACAGAGATAAAGTAAACTACTGCCAAAGCCAAAAATTGAGCCTGTTTGCTATCATCCTGTGAGAGGAAAAGGAACATGTCTGTAATACTTGACACACAGAACTTTTAAATCAAGATAATATGGTTTAGAAATATGAACCCTTTTAAGTTTATACCTGATTACTTGCTTATAATTCAATTCTTTAATTACCTTCATACCAACTGGAATGCTAAAATCAGAAGTTATAATCTATTTAGGAAGGATGGTGTGGTCGAAAGAGGAGTGGGGAAAGCCCTGTCTACATTATCTGAGGCACTGATATCTCTCAATAAAATTATCTGAAATATTTACGGATTAGTGTATTGCCCCATATTGTACTTTGTGTCGGCTACTGACCACCAAATCACAACAGGGAACAGGATGATCATCGCCTTACTCACCCATATGCAACATAGGAAAAAATTGTAAGCATAGAAGACTTCAATTTGAGTGCCATATCCTGGCAATCTCATACTTCCAATACTAGAGCTTCCTTGAAATCTGAAAACATTATTGATGTCAATTTCCTAACTTGAAACATGTTGCCGCCAATGCAGGAAACCTTTATTAGACCTTGTTCTAACAGGTAAATAGGGACTGATCACAGAACAAACAAATAATGTTAGCTTAGGTACAAGTGATCATGAGGTGATCACATTTACTATATGAAAGAATACAGTCCTGATCAGTAACATAATGCACTTAGTGCATTAACAAGGCCGGATTAACAAAGTTGAACAGAATTCTGAGTCAAATCAGCTAGGAGTGTTTCCTCATCACTGACCATTTTTAATTCAAGATTAGATATTTATTAAAAGATATACTGTAGCAATTTTTCTGGAGATTTTTATGGTGTGTGGCATACAGGAGGTCAGGCTAGATGATGAGAATGGTTCCTTCCGACCTTGGAAATCTATGAGTAAGTAAGCCTGTGCACAGAAAGATTAAGTGATTTGCCCAAGGTCTCACAACAAACAAGTGGCAAAGTCAGAAACAGAAATGAAGAGTCAGAATTCCCAGTCACTCGCACTGACTTCCAGACCACACTGTAACTTTGTACTTTAAAACTGGTAGCAGAAAACAAGTGAAGATGTATTTATTTTTGTGCCATCCATTGATTTCAGCAAATATTCTGAGAAGTCCATATCAGCATTTTTAGGCAATTTTTTCCAATGGTTAACCACCCTGAAGTTAAAAAGTTTTTCCTAACTTCTAACCTAAACCTCCCTTTCTGAAATTGCCCCCTTGCCCGTTGGTCCTTGTCCTATCACCAGAGGCCAAAGAGACCCTTTTAGATACAGGCAGTCCCCGGGTTACGTACAAGATAGGGACTGTAGGTTTGTTCTTAAGTTGAATCTGTATGTAAGTCGGAACTGGCGTCCAGATTCAGCCGCTGCTGAAACTGATCAGTCTGGACACCAGTTCCGACTTACATACAGATTCAACTTAAGAACAAACCTACAGTCCCTATCTTGTACGTAACCCGGGGACTGCCTGTACTCTCACAGTGCAGGCTTGCAATGAGCTTAAGGGGCTTTAAGTGAGCTTGAATCTTTCTCACAGACTCCAAATGCCATCACTTTGTGCTGACAATCTTGTTGGGGACATGCTGTGAAGGGAAACAGGCAGATGCTGCTTCAGAATTTCCCACTTTTGAGGTCTACTACTGAAGAGGTTGTACAATTGCTGGATTGTTCCAAAGTATGTGATTGTTTCCTTGCATGATTCAGTGCATTCAGCACTGACAAGATTTAATATGTGGTTGCCACAAATGGAGAAAATAGTTTGGATTTTGCTCAGAAGGACTGCTTGTAATCCGTTGTACTTCGTAGCCACATTGGATCCATTGTCAGAGGCTTGGCCGATACAGACCAAAATTTTAATTTTGAAGCCTTTTAGAATTTCTAATAAGTGGTGATTTCTTCTCCAGTTTTTTTATGAAATTATCAAACACAATCATTCTTCAGTTGAAACCTTTGAACTTCCTACAATTTTTGACATATCATGCTACCAAGGTTGTCTTTTCTTTATGAGAACGATATGGAGTTGCACCAGTAATAATTGAAAAGTACTTTGCCTGCGATCTGTTCAAGAATTTTTGTTTGAACAAACATCCCACATAGCTCAATAAACTCGTTTTGTATTCACGGGCACCGGGTCTCAAGCGGCAGCAGCAGCGGTTCCTGCGCTTCTGAGGCTTTGCTCTGGCAAAGCCTCAGAAGCGCGGGAACCCGCCCAGTGCCCCTGGTCTGCTGGAGACGCTCTCCAGCAGACCAGGGGCACCGGAGCAGCTTACGAACGGGGCTCTCTCGCCCCGGAGCTCGCAGGTAGCAATCCGCTACCTCGACCTCCGGGGCGAGAAAGCCCCGTTCATAAGTGTGGATCCGACATAAGTCGGATCCGCGTAAGTCGGGGACTGCCTGTACTTGAAAACCCCCTCTTGTCTTCTCCTTTCCAAACTAAACAAGCCCAATTTTTTCAGTCTTCCGTCTTAGCTCATGTTTTCTAGGCATTTAATCATTTTTTGTTGCTCTTCTCTGGACCTTCTCCAATTTCTCCACATCTTTCTTGAAGTGCAGTGCCCAGAACTGGACACTATACTCCAACTGAGGCCTAATCAGTGCAGAGTAGAGTGGAAGAATGACTTCTCATGTCTTGTTCACAACACTCCTGCTAATGGATCCCAGCATCATGTTTGCTTTTTTTGCAACAGTGTCACACTGTTGACTCATATTTAGTTTGTGGTCCATTATGACCCCTGGATCCCTGTCTGCAGTACTCCTTCCTAGAGAGTCACTTCCCATTATGAAGCCGTAGAGTGGTAGCCTGTTAGTCTGTAACAGGAAAAAACTTAAAAAATTCTGTATATGTGAAACTGATTGTTTCTTCCTAAGAGGAGCACTTTGCATTTGTCCTTAGTAAACTTCATCCTTTTTACCATTTCTCCAGATCATTTTGAATTATGACCCTATCCTCCCAAAGCAGTTGGAACCCCTCCCAGCTTGGAATCACCTGCAAACTTAATAATTGTACTCTATGCCGTCATCTAAATTGTTGAAGAAGATATTGAACAGAACAGGTCCCAAAACATACCTCTGCGGAATCCCACTTATTATTCCTTTCCAGTATGATTGTGAACCATTAACTAGTCTCTGAGAAAGGTTATCCATCCAGTTATGCACCCAGTTATCCACCTTATAGTAGCCCCATCTAGGTTGTATTTCCCTAGTTTATTGTTAAGAAGGTCACTTAAGACCGTATCAAATGCTTTACTAAAGTCTAGATATACCACATCCACTGCTACTCCCTTATCCACAAGACTTGTTATCCCATCAAAAAAAGCTATCAGATTGGTTTGATGTGATTTGTTCTTTACAAATCCATGCTGGCTGTTACCTATCACTTAAATATCTTCCAGTTTGCAGACGAATTCCTTAATTACTTATTCCATTATCTTTCCTGGCACAGAAGTTAAACTGACTGATTTATACTGACTTACATGTTAAAGTCAACTAGCATAGATGAATTATGTAAACCTACTAAGCACCATCACACTGGGTCTTATATGCCTGGAAATGTTGCATGAATAAGCAGGTGCAATATTTCACTGCAGAGGTGGCTGCATTTCAGATGTTATTAAGTTTTCCTTCTTTGTAGTTTGTAAAATGCAATGAAATTATGTAGTACATGTTTCTTCCCAAATAAGATTATTACTATTAAACACTTGTTTTTGTAAGAAACAGGAAATAGATTACGTAGAATTTGACAGATTTCTTTCTCCCACCCCCTGAAAATAGGAAATCAAAACTTTTTGCAGGTAAACACGTATAGATTTTACATCTCCCTCCCCAGCCTCCAAAGCTGTCCTGTTTTAAAATGCAAGTTTTTTCCTAACATTAAACTTTCTTTTAAACATTAGTGATTATACTGCAAAAAAAAAAATACAGTCCGTATTACTCACCACATCACGAAAAACAACTGCTCGTAGACGATTAATGTCAACATCCTGAAGAAGTCTATCAGGATCCTTTATAGGGGAAAGGTTCCCAGGAACATTTTCCAATGGTGTCTAAAAATGTGAAATAATTTTTCTGAAGCAGGGATTTTCATTAAAAACATTTCTTTAATCCACAATAAACAACTAAATACAGTAGTGCTAACCTGAAGACTAAAAAGTTAACATTCAGACATCAGATCTTCGTACACAGTGATGCTTTACTTATTTTAACGCATTTGCACTGAATAGTCAGATACAGAATTGTAAAACAATGCTTTAATCCTTTTGGGCAAATGCACCAATCTCTAACAATTATAATAACTGTAGCAAAAGGAGACAGTATTTTTTTTTATTATGAATGCCAAGTATTTTCAATGTATGTGGTAGGCTGAAAATTGGTTCATATAAGTGAAATAACTTTAAAAAAAATATCCTCATTCTGTTTTATGCAGAGAAGTATTATTCCAGATCCATGCAGACCATGCATGTTTAGTATTTACTACAATAATGTGACTTGTTTTCTTTAAACAAACACTGCAATCCAAACAATAATTAACACATGAAAGCATTCGATTTGTTTTCTACTGTCCAATGCTTGTCTTTTGTTGAGTTTGGCAAAACTGCTAGACTACATTTTGGTATACTTTTATAAAATAATGTGGTAATATTAGGTGGAATATATTTGTGGTTATAAATCTTATCTGAAACAGGCATTTTGTGGGAAGAGACAATTTTGAAAACATCAATGAGATTATCATGTTGAGTGCCTTTGGGCAACATTTACCAAAGTATCATCTTTGAGACCCGGAGGTGCTAATTTCTCTGTGCATTTAAGGGCCCTTCAATCCGCAAAACAATGAACACATTGGAAAAGAGTCCGAAACAAGCAACTTAAATAATAAGGAAACCAAAGTGACTGAAACATAAGTGACAATTAAACAAATTCGGACTTCACTCTTGGAGTCTTATATCATAAAGACAGTCACCAATTTAAACACAGAGTCCTACTGAAGTTTATAGGATTCTATAAGGATGCAAGAACCCAGCCACAAAGATCTGATTGCAGGTATTGGCCATGAAGCTCAAGAGGCTTCAGAAATCAAAGATATATGAATAGATAGGTCAAGTTACAATAAGACGGGGGAACAGATGTGCTCCTTGGAACAGAAGAAGTAGGAAAAAGAATACAGTATTGGAAAACAGTTACAATCATACCATTACATTAATTATTTTCATCCTTTTAATTTTTTTTTTCTTATTTTAATGAAAAAACACTTTTTCTTGTGAGGCAGGAAACGGGTGACAATTCAGCTTCTGTTGTAACAGAAACTAGAAATTAATTACAAACCTCTCCTGCTCATTTTAAGCACTGGTACAACCTACTTAAACATCAGATTACCTTGGTCATTCCCGTTGCAGTCATGCCCTGGAGAGTCTCCTGAGTTTTACTGCTGATTAATGAAGATTTGTTCACCCTCTCTCTCTGTCTTTGTCGACATTCTAAGCAGTTTCTTACAGCAACACAACAAACTTAAAAAAAAAGATACAGGTGAACATTATCACTAGGTGATTGCATGGGTACCAATTAATGAAGAGCCTGTAACTCCAAAGAATTATTATGTCTCAGTAACAATTGTATAAATAGGCATCACAAATCTCTTAAATTATACTCCGGGGATACTAGGAAAATATAATGGTGAGTTTTTCCAATTTCACTCTGTTTTTAGTTAAAGGGGCCTTAATTTTATGACTATGCCAAACGAAGCTCATATATAAGACTATAAGAAGTTTGAAAATGCAAATTATTCCCCTATAACTGGAATTGTTATGATTATATTGTCCCTGTTGATCCACTACTTTTGGGAGCATACTCTTTAGTATTGTGAAAGCCAACAAACTTTTTTGTGTAGCTAGAAGACAGAAAACAAAAAGAGAGGAACCACTTATTACTTTCCATCACATCAGAGATTAACATCAAAATGCCACAAGGCTCCACATGAGGATTGTTAATAGTAATCTGAAAAGGAGGGTGAAGTGTTATGGCAAAAATTGCAGCTGTCAAAAATTATTCAGTTTAGTCAAGAACTTTGAAGGATTTAAGAAAAACTAACCAAACTAGAGAGAGTAAACTGCTACTTGCAGCTCCAATACTTATTTTGGGAACTAGTTGTCACTAGAATCAGGTGCACTTTTTCTCACAGATCTTAGCATTTGGGACAGCATCTTGTAAAACACCATAGGAAAATTGCCTCAGTAACCTCCAACTCAAAATACAGTCTGAGGAATCTGACGCATTGTGGGCAGATTTGACTCTCCATTAGTAATGGGAACTCTGAATAAACCTTGTCAAAAATTCCCTCTTAGGGATCCCTATACTAGAGGAAATTACAGGATGAACCTCTCTAGTCTGGCAACCTCTGGACCTGACAGGCACTGAAGCAGAGAATTTGCTGAACTATGGGTATGTCTACACTTACACCCTCTTTTGAGAGAGGGATGCAAATGTAGACATTCGAAATTGCAAATGAAGCCAGGATTTAAATATCCCATGCTTCCTTTGCATATTCGCTATTTTGAAAAAAGAAACGCTGTCTAGATGCGGTTATTTTGAAAGAAAACCCTTCTTCCAAATAACTGGTAAACCTCGTTGTAGGAGAAATAAGGGTTATTTCGGAAGAAGAGTTTTCTTTCGAAATAACCACATCTAGACAGTGTTTCTTTTTTCAAAATAGCGCTATTTTGAAATAACACCATAATGCAAATATGCAAATGAAGCACGGGATATTGACATACCTTATGGGAGGTCAATATTGTCTAGCAGCATTGCCAGTACTTGAACTGCTTTCTGGGCTCTTACAAGACATTGAGGGGTAAATTAGAGCTAAATAAGAACATAGAACATAGAGCCAGGACTGGTCGCTGTAAACCAACTTTATGAGACTACAGAAAACTTGTACATGCACATAAGTGTACATCTGGCTAACTAAATTCATGTTGGATCACGGCTGTTTCTGTGTTAGGCATATTGCGTATTAGAAATGATGAAACACTGAAGGACAGAGGAGAAATAATTAATTGAAAACTGAGGAACTGCTCTCCCGAAATGAAAATCAGATATTTCCAAAATCAGAAAGATATGTTTCAATGAAATAAAATGAAGCTCCTGGAGCTAGTTTTATAGATTTCAGAGCTGGAAATAGTAATCCATCTTGCTATGGATTTACAACCACTTTGAAACATAGATGTGTTCTTATATGAGGCTTTACTGAATCCCGAGTCTGTTTTAACAATAAAACCACAGGACATCAGTGCATCAGAACACTGTCTTAAAAACAGGGCTCTTTGTTCCACTGAGTTTCTGCAGCTCACTCCATGCCACTGAGTCTGGATCCATCAAGGTCACTTACATTTTTTTTTAAAAAAAGTTATTTTCACAATATCTAGCAGCTTGTGAATAAAACTTTACAGTGTTTCTTATAGAGAGCAGGAAACTAATGAAACAGAAAAGGTAGGACACAAATGATGTAATTCATTTGAAAAGACAATATTTCCAAGACATGCTGCCATTGCCAATAAGAATAACGAAGACACATGCGGTCACAGTTCTTCACATACCGTTCCAATTAATGTTTCTGTTTGGGATATGTATATACAGGTTTGCAAACTATTACTGTTTGTTGTATGTTTTACAGGTGCATGACTGAGGTGTATTCTCCCAAAAGAGGAGATCTGCAGAGGCAGTTTTCACAGAAGCAAAGACCATGCTGACAAATCTTACAAAAGAAGAGCAGCATAGCAGATCAGTGTTTTAGGAGAACAGTAATTCTCTTCCTTCCACTAGTATTAATATTTTACTATCTTACAACATAATTTACAACTAAAATTTAATCACAAATCTGAACATGTCATGCTCATCTATTTTTGTGCTTCAACAGAACCATCATAACAAGTCAGTAAAAACTCTGTGATATTTTAGTTTATTACATCATGGTCAGATCCAGGTTAATTTCTACATTTATTCATTGTAGACTTAGCTCATTGATCTGTAAGTAATTATCTTATGCACACTGTCTGTGTTGTTCTTTACAGACTTACCCAGCCTAAGGCACTGTCGCATTAAGCCTCCAGAAGACATGTTTTTTTCAGCTTCAATCTCACTGAAGTTTAGAGAACTAGCAAATACCAGTACATCAACCATAGCCATCAGACGGCTCAGGAAAGTCACTGCTGTCTCTGCTGACATTCCTTGTGTCACTTCTATATTTTCCAATTCAGTCTAAGAGAGAATAATTATATTAGACTTACCAGTTTCAAAAACAAACATAGCATACCCACTTCTCAATTTTAACGGTTAACAATAAATAACTAAATGAGAAATATTACAAAAAAAGCTATTCCCTATATATAGGATTGGCAGAATTCTTTTTTTTTTAATTTGATGGTTAATATTGATTTTTTTCCTCACTCTGTTTTCCACTAGTTTTAGTATGTCAGTTTAAATTAACATTTTTATCAAAATCTACTGATTGAAACTGAATCCTGCCAAACCTATCTATATTTTTCATCAATGTAAAGTACTTATGAGTGAAACTTAAAAACAATGGTGCGGGAAGATGAAGTCACATTTGCATGCTGTAATAGATATTATGAAGTCTAATATCTGTGAGAAAATCATTATTTACATGGGACCAAAATATGGCTCAGCTACAACAGTTCAAGGCATGTATGTCCCTGAGCAGGGTAACTGTGACAGTAAAGAAAGGAAAACAAGTTCTGCAGAACTGCTGTGTCCATCCATCCCTAGTCCTACAGATGGATGGAAGTGGAATGGGGTAGGTATTGAGCAGTCTTGGCTCCAATACATGTTAGAGATACCCAATTCAGTGTACATTCCCTAGTGTATTAATCTAGCATAGTATACTCCCTCCCTAGATCAGCAAGGGAAGCAGTTTAGTTCCTCCCTGATGCTCCAGTGAGGGAATACATCATTCCCTGTTGATACATGGTGATTCCGCATGGAATGTACCATCTCTGTCTTGGGCTGTTTTCTTAGCCTAGGCTAATGGCAAAGCCACTCCCGAATCTGCAATTGTTTTATAAATGTAAAAAGGATTATGAATTTAGGGTAACATTTTCAAAAGCCTTAGCCCCATTTTCAAAAGCTCTCGGGGCAGATTTTTAAACATATTTTGCTCCTTACGTGATTTTGAAAATCCCATGAGGTGCTAACTGCATCCTCAGGCACCTAAATACCTTGGCGTTAAAGCGTAAGTCTCACTCACAGTCAATGGAACTCAAGTTCCTGAGTCTTTTTTTTTTTAAATGGAACTCAGAGGCATGTGTTAAAATTTTAGCCTTTTGGTTTCAGTTTCAGGTATTCTGTAAGATAAATAGGGAGCTTAAAATATATTATTCTGTACTTTAAAAAATGAGTAGTCATGTGGCAACTTAAAAACTAATATAGCATATAGCATCACAAGCTTTTGTGGGCAAAACCCACTTCCTCAGATGAGCAGATGATTATTTTGTACTGTTACACAAATTTATTTTCATTACTAAGACTACAGAAAATTATTTTAAAACCCTTTATTTCCTTTCTGCTGAGAATTCTGCGCCCTCTGAACAGTAACTTGTTGAAATAGTTGTTTCGGCTATACCAACAGTGCAGATAATACCAAGCAATATTAAAAAAAAACAATTGTTCTGACACATGCACAGTATAATGCGTCTTTCTGTCATCAGAATGATAGATAACATGGCATTTTATATTTCTTAAAAGCAAGACATGTCAGTTACATGGGTAGTCTGGGAAGGACTGTCACCATTTAAAATCTGTCCAGCAACACAAAACAAATTATATTATGACAATTAGACCTTTGAAACACTATTTCCCTGTGAAGAACTGCCACTAGCATTCCTCTAGCAGTTATTCCCTGCTATTTTATGTTATTTTTCTACTGTCACTCCCCCTTGTCATAGTGAATTATGAATATATTTTTCTACTAAGGAAAAGTAGCAAACTGTTGAAAAAAACCCACAAATAAAATTAAACTGAAGACGCCACATCTGAATAGCAAGAATCCATGCTTGGGTATGTATTAGTAGGCTGCTGGTACAATTCTCAGGTGGAGAAACAAGGCTTTGGACTCACCTCAACATGCACCATAAATATTCACCAGTGGCCTATTAATGGACTCCCAGTTCTGGATTGTTGCTGTAATACAGTTAACTATATTATACTACGTACGTTTTCTTAAGGAAATTTATCTCCTTTTCATTCCCAATGTGATATGTCCAGCTTTATGTTCACATGAAATAGTAAAATCCATGTAAAAAGCATGCTTTTTAATACAGTTTTACATGATTTTTACTCGCATTACACAAAAGAAAAATTAGAATTTTATTTAGGAAATTGCCCTAAATGCTGCCAATTCACTAGGACAATAAACAGCCTTCTATTAGGCCTAAGTACTATAATGAAATCCATCCCTTAAAAGTAACACACTGGTATGTACTCTAACAATATTTAAGAGACATTTTCTTGTTTAGCATGCTACTTTTCAGAGGCTAGAATAATTTAGCATAGTATGGGGAAACACTTTTCAAAAGTAAACTCATGCTTACTACATAAACTTTAAAAGAAATAGCTAAATTTCCAGATGGCTATATGTCCAGATCTTGAACTAAATCAGATTTTCACAGAAGATTAACCTCTGCAATTTAAATTAGATCATAGGCCTGTCTAACTTTGATTTGGTAGTTTAAAATCACTAACTAATGCTTTAGATTAAACTAAGAGAAATATTTCAAGAAAAGTCCCTAAATACACCTAATTTACTCTAGACCATATCCTCATATATGGCGTGAAAAATTAAAAAAAACAAAACCAAAATGTCAAATTATCAAAAACAACAAAGTTTGAAAAACAAACTGAAACTTACAGCAGTAATACTAACCTTAGAACCCTGGACATGCAATAGACAAAACAGACAACAGATCACAAGAATAAAAGAAAAAGAAAATTATTAAAGTTAACTGAAAATACAATGTAAAATTGAAACAAAGTAATATATTGGAATCAGACCTTTATTGTATTAATTTATCATTGGAATAAACATTGTAGCTTAGAAAGCGAATATTTTAAAACAGATTTAAAATAACTGAATTGCAAACAGTGTGGTTATAAATCTAACCATTTAATGTTGTTATACAGCTCCATTCAAATTGATCCATCCAAACTGAAATACATATTTTAAATAATAGATGCAGAAATGTATAGGATGTTAGAAATATATACCCATAGCAGAATTTTATTTATTATACAAACCACAGCAGTAAAATCTGACATAATTGAGCCACTCTGTATTCAATTGAGACTGACAAGTAAATCAAGATTTAGTATTTATGATTTGTGAGATGAAATCATATCTATAAAATTAATTGACAAAATATACCTATAAATGAGAGGGTATAATACTTTGCTCATTGGCCATAAAGCTCTTTGGACTGGATCACCACAACATAACTTTTACATATGTAACTGCCACCAGGTGGATTTGAACCTGGGACCTCTAGAGCTTAGGTAGGAGCCTCTACAGCTTGAGCTATAAAACCGGCTTTAAGCTGAGGAGCTCCCTCATTCTTATCTCTCACAGGAAGCGATCTAAGTGCCACTACATGGGACAGTGAACCACACCTACAAGTAGATATAGGTTACAAATACACCAAAGCTTTGCACAATTATCAAACCTAATCCCAAACTGTACTAAAAAGATGACATTCTGAGCCACCAGTGGAAGTTTGGAAATATTTCAGAGTTTGGAGCTAGTCCCAGCACACCAACCTTAGCTGTTTGAATGTTTCCTGTTTTACTTTTGGTCAGAGCCCTTTACTCTTAAGTACCTTCTCTCCACAACAGGTCTGTCATTTAGTTCTCAAGAGTCATATTTTTCAAATAATCAGTCATTTTGTGGGCCTTTACAATTTTGAATCCCCAACCTGTTACACCTTAAAGGGTTGGTATTGAATAAATGTGACTACAAAAGGGGGAAATAAATGGTCAATTTTTAGAATGGACAACTCAAGGGTCCATAGTGGGACCTATCCTATTCAACATATTCATAAATGATCTGAAGAAAGGGATAAACAGCAAGGTGGCAACATTTGCAGATGATACAAAACTGCTCAAGAGATAGTTAAGTCCAAAGCAGACTATGAATCACTTCGAAAGATTCTCACAAAATTAGGTGACTAGGCCACAAAATGGCAGATAAAATTCAGTGTTGATAAATACAAAGTAATGCATATTAGAAAACATAATCCAACTACACACATAAAATGGTGAGGGCTAAATTAGCTGTTACCACTCAAGAGAGATCTTGGAGTCATTGTGGATAGTTATCAGAAAACAGCCACACAATGTGTAGTAACAGTCCAAAAAGCAAACAGAATATTGGCAATTTTTAAGAAAGGGATAGATAAAACAGAAAATTCATATTGCCTCTATAAAATCCATGGTACGCCCACTTCTTCAATATTGCATGCAGACGTCACTGCCTTATCTCAAAGATAGATATCTTGGCATTGGAAAGGGTTCAGAAAAGAACAACAAAAATTATGAGGGTTGGAACAGCTGCCAGATGAGGTGAGATTAATAAGAGTGGGATTTTTCAGGTGGGAAAATAGTCAACTAAAGGGAGATATGATCAGTGTTCCCTCTAAGCTGCATAGCAACACAGCTTCACAGCAGATTAATCAGCCCCGCCCAGTCAGAGGCTCAGGGCTCCTTGCAGGGCACTGACTCACTGGGCAAAGCTGATTAATCACCTGTGAGGCTCTGCTGTGCAACTTAGAGGGAACACTGGATATGATAGAGGTCTATAAAGTCATGATTGGTGTGGAGAAAATGAATAGAGAGTTTTCTCCCTCTCTCTCTAAACACAAGAGCTAGTAGTTACCAAATGAAATTAATAGGTTTTAAATAGTAATAGTAATTAATAGTAGCAGGTTTTAACACAAACAAAAGGAAGTACTTCTTCACATAATATACAGTCAGTCTGTAGTTCTCCTTGCCAGAGGATGTTGTGAACGTCAAAACTATAACAGGGTTAAAAAAGAGCCAGATAAATTAATGGAGGATAGGTCCATCAATGGCTATTAGCCAGGATAGGCAGGGATGGTGGTCTCTAGCCCCTGTTTGTCAGAAGCTGGGAATGGAAAACTTTATGGTCTGCTCTGTTCATTGCCTCTGGGGCACCTGGCACTGGCCACTGTCAGAAGACAGAATAAACTTAAAAAAACAACAGATAGTCTGATAGCACTTTAAAGACTAACAAAACATGTAGATGCTATCATGTGCTTTCGTGGGCACAGCCCACTTCCTCAGATGACTTCAGAATGTCAGGATAGATGGACCTTTGGACTCATCTGTTATGGTTGTCCTTATATTCTTGGAACATCTAAAAATTGAGGGATCCACAATCACAAGCCATTTTTGGAAACCTAGGATCCATCTACAGTAAAACTCCGATAGTCCGGCATCCAATTGTTCGGCACTCCTGATATTCCAGCATCAAAATGCCAAGCACTCCTGACCAGCTGATTAAAAAGCCTGCCACTCAGCACATGTGCTGGCTGTAACCGGAAGGAGCATAAGGTTGGGGGAGGGGGGAAATCATGTTACGGAGTATGGAGAAGAGCGTTTTGCTTCAGCGAAGGGAAAAGGGGAGGGGAAGGGAGGGGGAAGAGGATCAGGTTACAGCACGGAGGAGACACGAAGAGGAAAAGGGAGGCGAGAGGGAGGGAGATTGTGTCCGGGCCAGCTGTTAAGCTGTGAAGCTGTACCAGGACCTCCAAATTCTCTGGCAAATCTGATAATCCGGTACCACCTAGGTCCAAAAGGTGCCAGTTACTGGAAGTCTACTGTACTTTGGTGGAAATCGGAAGCGGAAAAATAGAAGACTATTGCACCTTCAATGTGGAAACAATTTATGGCATATATTAAAATGTATACTGCTAACAATTAGCAAACTTTGATATCTGTTCTTTCCTTGTACAAAGGAGAAAAAACTTTGGTAACTCAGACACTGCAATATAGTATACATTTGCAGAATAGGAGTCTCCATGCATGAAACTAAAAAACTAGTTTTTAAGAGCATTTTAATGTTTTCATAATTTAGACAGCACATTTAGAAACCAAAAGCATTTCAACTAGGTTACACTACTATTAATGATGCCATCACAATATTGACTTCAGCAAAAAGAGAAGGAAGATTTCTTTTTTGGTATAAAACTGTCTCTCTAGACATTCTTTCACATGTGGATGCTCAGGTCTTGGTCTGGATTCTGAAGCTGAGATCCATCTTTGGGACTCAGACACATTTTTTCTTTAGATTCTGCAATAGGTGAAACCCGGATCCCATTACATCAATGGCATAACTCCAACTGATTTCATTGGGACAAGGATTTGATACTAGGTTCACTGCAGTCCTGACTGATCCCCACATATTCAATTTTCTTTTTAATGCCATACCCTTAAGTCCCTGGATATGGCTGCTATTTTATAGTAGCTAATGAGTAGATGGAATTGTCAATCTTTTCATACTATGCTTTAACTGGCAACAGGGTGTTTCTGTTAAAAAAAAAATCATTTTCCATAATCCTTCCTCACTTTCCTGAATGGCCTTTGTCTCATTTTGTATTTTGTCTTATATGACTGCAAAATTTTGGTGGTACTAAGAGACTCTTATTTGTATGTATAAAGTATCACAAATTGAAAACATCTAAATAGTTTAAGTACTAAAAAAGATATATATTATCTCCACATGTGACGTTACTGAAGGATTTACCCCATCCCTGCTAGCCCAATGAGCAGTAAACAAGGGTTATGAAATTAACTTGTTCTGGCATATCATCACAAATCAATATCATTAGATCAAAATATATGCCTACCATTTTTATTTATTTTCATTTATTATTTTATACATTCTATTGAAAATTAAAAAGGTACGTATCCCTTAGCTCTAGGCAATTGTTATATTAAATCACAGGCACTCCCCCCCAAGCCTTCCCCCCACTAATTACATTAAAAGCAAACTGTTAATGTTGCAACCCAAAAGTTAAGCAACACCAGAACATTTTGCCAGTGTGCCCTTATTTCGTTTTTCTAGTGTATGCATTATGATACAATCTTTAACTACATGATCATCTACTATGTTTTACACAGGTGCCCTGCCTCATTCAATGCTCAGAACAGATGGTGGTCACAAGCAGAAATTCAAGTTATTTTTTGTAATCTCAATTGCTCAGTGCGTATCCCTGGACCTTATTTACTGCATATTGTCCAAAAGTTGCGCTGAAGACAGCTCTAAATTTCTCATGGGCTTTTCTATGGCAATCATCACTACAATTCTTCATAAACATTAATGAATTTATTTTCTTAACTACTCTGTGATATGAAGGTTATCATCATGCACATTTTACAAAGAGAGAGGTCAGTCACAAGAGATATTAAGTTCCGCAAGCAGGAGCAGCTCGAGGAGAGATGCTGGCAACTGGCGTCCTAGGCGGAATGCGCAATTGGCGCCCCCGCCTCCATAGCTCTCAATGGCGTGATGTTATCATTGGGTGCCGTGTTAAACGCGGCGCCCTCGGCAACTGCCGAGGTTGCCTACATCCACGGACCACCCCTGTCCACAAGTATCTACTAACTTTGGGTGCTCAATTTGAGGCATCTAGAACCTTGTTTTTCAGAACATTTAGCACTGTATAGCACTTCATATGTTTAAAGCGCAGCTTCCATTAAGTTCAGTTTCAGTTCAAAGTGCTTAGCTCTTTACAAATCAGACCCCAGGGCTTCTAGCCAGGCACTCAGACAATGAGGTATACCCATTTAGTGATCCCTTGTGAAAAGCGGGGTTAGCAACTTGCCTAGCATCACACAGAATCCAATCCTCCAGGGCAGAAT